GGAATGGTAGAGCCCGTCGGCGAAAAAATGATGCGAGCAATTCTAAACCGAGGAAAGAAGTGATCCAGGCGAAGAATTGAAAGCTTGAAGATGAAAAGACTGAGGTCCTTCCTTCGTAAAAATCAGCTGGGGTCAAAACAGGTCCCAGCCCCTCGAATTCCCCACCCACGAAGCGAGTCAATTGATGAGGGGGCGGATAAAGGGGAGGGGCATCGAGGCATGCCCAACTAAGGATGACAAGGGAGGGGCGAAGAATGGAAGCCTGGAGGCTACTGAAAGCACGTCGACTGCCACCAATCCACTCATCCGCCAGGCTTGCTGGTGGGCAGGGAGAGAGAGAGAAAAAGCAGGATGTTTTGCAACAAATAAATACGGGAACCTGGCTTTCATGTAAATAATGACATTTTCATTTCAACTTTATTACATTTGTTCTCAACTAATTATTATTCGTTCTCTTTTCCAAACTTCAAAACTTCTCAATCAGTTTCTATTGCACTTTCATAGATTTATTTTGATTGATGGAGATAGAAAATCGATTAAGTGTATTTTAAATTTCAGGGCAATTTATCTCCAGTAATGTCTCAAGGACGCCACCCAAGGAGCCATATTTCCGTAATATTAATACCTCAGGCCTTTGGAACCCCGACACTTCTTCCTTTCCTTACTTTGAAATAATATAAGGGGAGGAAGAAAAATATGCACGAAACAATCTTACATAAACTACACAATGGATCATACATTGTGGAAAATTGTTGACGTTATAGATAAAAGTCTCCTCCAAAGGCGATCGTCGGTGAAACGTCTGGTTCGTTGAGCTACCGCTAAATATCAAGTTGAATTGAACATTTTCTTGCACTTTTATTTTGGAATGTGTACAAGAATGGGAAGGTAAGACTATGATATTAAAAAACATAATTTTCGACCAACCTAATATGCACCTTCCCTTTTCAAGACAATTACAAAGTATGTGCTTTTTGCCGTAACTTTTTTATCTTCATTCCCCTACTTCATAGTGCTTATGAGATAACGATGCAGGTAATGCTCTATTAATAGAGACTCATGTGCTTCAATCATTTATTTAGGAAAATTAGAATACAAAAGTTAAATCAACAAAACATATTGATTGAAAAGAAGCTAATGGAACTTCCTCTTGATCCTTTTCCTTAGCATTTTCCTCTAGATCCTTTTCCTGGGGCAACAATAGCACCAGTTTCAGTAGTTTCTGCAAGAGCTTCAGCAACTGCTGAAGGAGAATCCAAAGGCCCTCCTATTGTGAACAGAGACTTTTTTTCAAGTTGCAATGGGATGAATTTCATGCTCATGCATCATCAACTGCTTACATTGCGTTCAAAAGTACTTACTTCATGGTGTAAAATAGTCTTCATGTAGTATTACTTACAAAGCAAATACAGTAAGATTTGTGCTGAATACAACCCTAAACCCTAGATATATTGGGCGAAAGAATACCCTATTAAGGGGACGCAGTACCCGTTGATTTGGGCTGGCAGGTAAAAAACAGTTGGATTCCTAAACGCTTGCTTCCATACCTTTCTTAAATGTCATCCATTCAGTGATCTACCTCTTACCATAGTACTTGTAAGGAACCGTATCAAGTAATAACTAGCATTTAATCTTAACACCTCGAAAACGGCAATATCCCTTGCAAAAGCCCATGGTAATTCCACAGAGATGATCGCTACTCTTGCAGATTTTCAAGAGGATTAAAAAAAATTGGGCTTGTTTGCATGGACGTCATACCAAATGTTTGCTAAAAAAATGCTCATTATACTGGTTTGCTTGCAAGCTAGCTCATATTGCAGTGTACACCATTTATATACAAATTGGAGGATATTTGAATTTGGACCCTAAATATAAAACTTGTAGAATATTTAAAAACCTCACTGAATCAGCATCATAATACTTTAATAATATGGTTTTAAAAAATGCACATAAAATTGCAAGACTCCTTTTGCACCAGTCTTGATAGATGGGCAGAATTGTATTGATACTTGACACTTATTATTTTGGGTACTTCAATGTCACAGTATAAAGCCTATTACCTTGTCATAGAAGGACAGCAAGGCCGTCCCCCCACCCAGATGGCGCAGCACATCTGAAAGAAATGTCCTTCATTAGGCTGGGGTCTTTAAGCCAAAGATGAAAAGAAACCACGCGTAATTTACAATGTATGCCTTACCCTTACTTGCGAGGGCTGATCTAATAGTTTCTGCCATGAGATATCCCCGTAAAGGAATGTGATAGACTAATGAAACAATGTTTATTTTTCAGCATTTCCTCCCTAGACATTAATACTTGTTCCATCGATGGAACAGGGCTGCAATATTATGTGGAAACATTTTTTTTACCATTGTCATCTAAAAAGAAACTTTAATAGCTCATTGAATTAACATCATTGTGGTTTCACCTTCTTGGCCGCTCCACTGGAAATTTTGTTTAAAATTTATAACATTGAATGAGCTGTTATGTCGGGATGATCAAATATATACCCATTGAATGATTTAATAACGAAAAAAATTGCATAAATGCTCCGTCTTCAAATTTTGCCATTTTGAAATGGAATAACTTCTGTCCGGAACATCACTTACTATAGAATTTTTTTAGTTATACGTTATTAATTAAAAAATAATGCACCATAAACCATGTGTGACTGTTGAATTTGCCAAAAAGGATGAAAGAATATGGGGTAAAACTTTCAGCCTACTCCAATCACTTCTACAGTCTTTTTCACCTCAGACAATTTTTCACTTGACTAAGACACCAATGCGAGCAGTTTTCAGAGAGGAGGCGAGGGCGCAGGTGCCCCTGGTGACTAGCGACATCTTTCTCTTCTTCGAATATTTAGGCTTTTCCATATGCATCAAACTATGTACTGGATACGATGAACCGCATGCATAGCCATGTTGTCAACGGGAGACCTTCCTTGCAGTCTAATTAAATAAAAAGGCTCTAAGTTTTCAATTTCTCATCGGTTCAACGATGTAGAAACACTGAATCGGACTTCGATGGACAACCCCAAATCCACGTTAGATATGCCTTCTTGAGTTCGGCGTGGGGAATGATACTTCAGAACCCAGGAACGATGCCCAAACCTTCACCCGTTTTATTGAAATATTAAGGAAAACAGTAATGGGTGACAGGAAAGCCTAGTGTTTCACGACATTAAATTAGCATTTCAATATATTGTGTATTTGGGAAGGTTCATATTTATTTTCCTCTTTTCAGCTGGAAATTAATCATCGTTGTCGCCAATGTCATCACGACATCTGCACTTAAGAATGGAACTCCTTGTTTCTGCGTCGATCCGCTATATCAACATCACTATGCACCCTTGTCGAAGTCAAGTGAAAATATGTCTAACTCAAGTGAAAAGCACTGTACTGCCTCTAGATAGAAACCATTTGCATCACCGCCAGTAATATCTCATGCATCTCATTGGCTGTAAATATGCTGTATACTGTACATAATAGATCTCCGTCATCTCTATATTTTTGTAACCTAACTCTTCCGCATTTCAGAGCAAAACCCAATTTGTAGGAATCGGATCGATATAACAAAAGTCACACAGAACAATAGCATCCTCGTGAATACTCCTATCCATAAAAAACTCTTCATCTTCACTAGCGAGAGAAGCAAGATTGTTCATAGACACGTTTGACACGTGTAAGCTAGAATATTCCCTTCATCCCGAGTGGAAGCTACGGAAAATAGCGAATTCAATCAATACAGATTCTTCCTCTACCGAACCGGCCCCTGAATGAGGAATGGTAGAGCGCGTAGGCGAAAAAATGATGCGAGCAATTCTAAACCGAGGAAAGAAGTGATTCAGGCGAAGAAGTGAAAGCTGGAAGACGAAAACCTGAGGTCCTCCCTTCGTAAAAATCAGCTGGGGTCAAAACTGTCAACAGGTCCCTGCCCCTCGACTTCCCACCCACGAAGAGGGTCTATTGATGAGGGGGCGGATAAAGGGAAGGGACATCGAGGCATGCCCAACTAAGGATGATACGGGAGGGGCGAAGAATGGAAGCCTGGAAGCTACTGAAAGCACCTCGACTCCTGCCACCAATCCACTGATTATCCGCCAGGCTTGCTGGTGGGCAGGAAGAGAGAGAGAAAAAAGCAAGATGCTTTGCCGCTTTCAAAGATCTTCAAGTGCGAAACACGCCGTCTCGTCCATTATTTCCCTGCGTTATTTAAATCCAAATGGCAGGCGTCCAAAGTACATCACTCACGCCCTGCTGAGTCTCAGGCGAATACGAGGTATTAGGAACTAACCAAGCCTACCCGATATCTTCGCCTCTGGCAGATCAGGGCAACCTCGGATCACGGCGAGACCATTGACACGTATGCACTACTTGAGGTGCTCTATCGATCGGCATCGGTTTCATCGTGGGGCGCGGTTAGTTCGAAAATGAACATCCTCCTTTCCAAAAAGAGTTCTCATGTATTAATAATTCGTACATCATAAAGTCTGGTAATCACGAAATGTGAAAACAAATGAAGCAAGTAAAGAGGGTTTATTAAATAATAGCCACGTTTCCCAAAGAAAAGTATATTGCCACTGACAGAAACAGCATATATCATTCGGAAAATCAAATAGCCATATCACCACAAATCGATCATGCAATAATTACCGATAAATACATAAATACCGATAAGTACGTAGAGATCAGGCGAATTTTTTAGTTCTACTGCTAGAACGATTAATTAAGCGATGATAATAATTATCATGTATTGTCATGTATCTCCCGATAGAATATGTGACTTCCTCGAAGTCTGGATTACAAGGCGCTAATTTTGCGACTCCGAAGGAAAATAACTTTTTGCGCAACGTTCTGGATTAGGAATACAGGAATAATAATAGGATTAGGAACTATAATACCGACCTGTCAGTCACCCTATATATATTTAGCTGAGGAAAATCTGGAGTGAAGAATGACGCCTTGGGAAGGAAAGACTATAATTTTTTCAGATATGAGAAATTAATTATTCTGCAGGAGATGAAGTTGCCCAACTCTCCGAAGCGCTTCCTGGAAGGCCCGTAGTCCGTTGTCATCTTTCGCCCGCACGAGTCTGAGGATCGCCTCGCTTTTGTTCTGCCTCGTTTTCGGCTCGTCCACGGTGTCCTTCCACTCCACGTCGAGGATGTTCATCGAAATGAGGATCGGGGCGACTTGATCCGCCAGGAGGTTTCTCACGATTTTGTCCCAGTTCTGCATCAGGGTCTGCATAGGGTTTTCCATTCCACCAATTGCCCTGAAAAACAATAATTTGGTGCATTTTCATTGTGGATTTACCTCATCAAAAGAGGGAGCATCGTGAAAAGGGTATTTTCTCTAACTGGATGGGCATGAGGCATGGGGAAAGACAACATCTCCAGATTAGCATCGACTACTCCGAACGTGACAACTGATTGATTTGCTAATGTATGTCCCAACCCTCCACATCTTTGCAGTCAAAGGAACATCCAAAGCAAATGCAAATCAGTTGATATCCCTTCTACAAGCATCCACGATGCAAAAAAAAGTTTATGCAAGTTGAGATCATCAGGTTTCTGTCTAAGCATGTGGTCAGCCAACGAGAGCATTTCTTTGAATTCCTACACGGACGGAAGCAGAAGTCTCTGGAGTTGTCGTCATTCACTGTGGCTGGTATGCTTGAGATGCGAAGGCTGGAGCTGGAGGAATCATCTGGGTTGGAGGATAGCTCGGATTTGGTTGCACTGCTTGAAACTCTGGAAACAAAGAAACACTTTCTTGGAAAACGTTGGAGATGCTTCATAGCATTAAACGATGTTTATTCGACGGACTCTTAACTTAAACGTTTCTCCTGACACGATTCGTTGTGAAGGAAGTTGAAGACCGCTGAAAATTCATTTCCAGAAAGGCCCTGCGCACCTTCCTCATTACGGCTTTCGATTTCGTCCGTCCATTCGCAGCTGAAAATCCCGGTTGTACTCTTCCTCAGTTGGCCTGACTGCTAAGGTTAAGCTAAATTTCACGTTCACGCTTTGGTAATAAGTCGGGATTTAAAATCAAGCAGGTTCTTGGCCTACTGAACCGAGGTTTAAAAATGTGCTTTTTATGCAGAAGTCAAAGAGAAAAGCATCTTCTGGCCAGTTACCTTCTTGCTAGACTCTAATGCTCGACTGTGCCATATTAGTTCAGCAAGTATTCAGCCCGTATGCCATTATTTGCCAGCGTTTCCTACCAGTGGGGATCCATGAGGGTATGTAGTAATAACAAAAACTTTCCCTTTCATCCACCCCCCCCCCCCCCCGGCCTCTCTACGTGACTCACTAACGTAAGGCCTATCCCTATCCAACAGACTGGCTTCAGGTCACGCCAAGCCCTACCTTTTTCTTTTAAAAAGAAACTCAATTCTCGACTTACGGCGCCAATTAGCCCTATAAGGGTGAATCGTGGTCTTCGAGACATCTGGTTCAGGACTTCTAACGTTAGGCCAATCGCAGGCCTATTCATACTACTACGAACCATTTCAGAGAGGACGTGTAACGTTACACCGATTGGAGACCTGTTTCGCGTTTCATGGACCGTTTCAGCGTGACGTGGAACGTTAGACCTATCTGGAGTTCCTTGAACCATCTCAAATATTCAATAGGCCTGAGAAGAGGATACCTTCAAGAAGCGTGGAATCCATGGTACGCGCCATCCTGTTAATTCAGGGATGTCCGGATGAGATATCTGTATGTCCCACCACATCGATCTATAACTGCTAACCACTGCTTCATTCCCTGCTCAATTGATGAACTCGGCACAAAAATATATCATTCATTAAAAAACAGAAGATCCATACGCCAAAACGAAGGTTGAAACAGGCTTGAATCTGGCATGATTTCGGCACGGTATCCGGCAACACTGGCGGAAAGGACCGGAGCAAGCACTCTAAGTCTAATTGAACAATAGCTAATTTCATGTTTCATGGCGAAATGGCGGGCCATAAAAAGTGTAAACATTTTACAAATTAATAATATGTTCATTATTCCAGATAGAAACAAACAGAAACAATTGCCCTGTTGTATTGCCCTGTTGCATGCTTAATGAAACTCTCTTTTGCTGTTGCTCCTGGGTTCGGGTGATGCGTGAAGTGTTTTTGGCACGCTAAACCAGGGAACTCCATGAGAGACCGAAGGAAATTGCATTAGTCACTAAAATGAAGAACACCGGCACCAGATTGTACCAAATTCCACCAGGCGGATCAAAAATGCACACGGAAAAGGACTCGATCGCAAATGAAATAGCAGCGGAGCACGTCATAATGCCCTCTTGGAATCAGGTAAGTGGAGGCGCACCGAGAGGAATGCATATTCGCGAGTGAAGCATGAGAACCAGCTCCGAATCTGCCCTGAGAGGGAAGACCCGTCCTGCGAAGAGATGGATGCACGCTATCGCGACCAGAAACGCCGGGGATCCAAATGGATACAGGCTATATACCAACAGCCTCTTCGTCTCTTCCTTGAGGAGCGACGTCTGCAGGACTCTGTTTCCGGTACGAGAAGAAGAGGCAAACTTTGCTACTGTAAGATGGGAAAGGGCAATTTAGGACCTATCTATATCATACCTCCTACCGTCTAAATCTCATCCAAACTTGTCGAGCGGAAGTACCGCTTTAAGCAGGTATTTGAAAGAAATCTAAAGCAAGTAAAATAGATAGGAGACTATTGTCTCATCGGCATAGTTAAGCGCCACCTGTATCTACTTCATAAGCCAAGGAAAATTGGAATGAAACTTCGAACGAAAAAAATAAACCTCAAAAATCGTTTATATAATGAGGAAACCAGAGCAGTCGTCCCCGGCGACGACTCGCCCAGCATGACGAACGCCTGTTTTAGCTCCCTTCGACGTCAATCGGGGACACCGGAGCAGCTGGTGGATGGCCTTCGTCTCCTACCGATGGTTTACTCTTTCTCGCAAGGAGAAGGCTTGCGAGACTTTCTTCCCACTTAGACTTGAGGGATTTCACGGCGTCCTGCTCCCAAAGGAAGATGAAGAAGATGAAGACTCCCTGGAGCCCTGAGAGCACCGTATGGAAATGGGGATCCGGAATCTCTTGGATGAAGTAGCCGACCATCCCCGCCAGCCAGGTCCCTCCCATCACCACGAACAACTTTAGGTACAACCAAAACCTGCAATCAGAGATATGAAGGGAGACTTGAAGGGAAGAGTAGTTGCTTTGAAATTGACAATCCACGAGATCTCATGGGAATTTTCTTTTCGTTTGTCTTAACCCTTATTTTTTTTTGTACCCTTGCTCTACCGCCATTATCCGGTGTTGAAACGAAGGCCGTAGGCAAGGGGGATACAAGTTTTAACAAGTAGGTTAAATGAATTAAGTCCCTGAGAATTCAGGCAAAACATTTCTTGTAAAAACGAGGGACGCAGCCGAATATATTTTTTGGAGGAGGCAATAACTTTTTCATGGTGGGAGTGCGCGGACGGTGGAAGACGGTGAAGAACAGCGACCAGGAAAGTCACACCATATCCCCAAGTCTCACTCCATTTACTCATATAGACTATTTAGTCCCAATGGAAGACAATTCTTTACGTCCCCTGTAACTGAGTTCAGTGGGGAAAGAGGGTATTATTTCCTTCGCCACCTCGTAATCAGGGTAAACCCTTACATCCAGGCTCTAAGAAATTTCAACCATAGAATTGATGGAATGTGACGCAGTAGGAACCGTTGAGTCTTTTCTTATTCAGGTTTGTTTCGATGATGAAGGAATCCAAATATTCCTCGGAACCAATAAGCGAAGAAAAATAAACCAGAAGATAACACCGGATTTCGATGGCAACAATCTCTCTCATCTTAAATGACTCCATAAAAATTGTTAAAAACGGTATTGCCCTGTTGCATTCTTGAAACTCACGTTCCCAGTTGTTTCTGGGTTGGGGTGAGGTGTGACGTATCTTTGGCACGCTGAATCAGGGAATTCCGTGAGAGACCGAAGAAAATTGCGTTAGTCACTAAAATGAAGAACACCGGCACCAAATTGTACCAAATTCCACCAGGCGGATCTAAAATCACACGGAAAAGGAATCGATCGTAAATGAAATAGCAGCGAGACCGACATAATACCCTCTTGGAATCAGGTGAGGGGCGGCGCACCGAGAGGAATGCACATTCGCGAATGAAGCATGAGAACCAGCTCCGAATCGGCCCTGAGAGGAAAGACGCCTCCTGCGAATATCTGGATGCACGCTATCGCGACCAGGAACGCCGGGGATCCAATTGCATACAGGCTATATACCAACAGCCTCTTCGTCTCTTCCTTGAGAAGCGGCGTCTGTAGGACTCTGTTTCCAGTACGAGAAGAAGAGGCAAACTTTGCTACTGTAAGATGGGTAAGGCGATTTATGACCTATCATACCTCCTACCGTCTAAATCTCATCCAAACTTGTCGAACGGAAGTACCGCTTTAAGTAGGTGTTTAAAAGAAATCTGAAGCAAGTTAAATAGAACGTAGACTATTGTCTCATCGGCACAGCGAAACGCCACCTGTATCTACTTCATGAACCAAGGAAAGTTTGAATGAACTTTTAGCAAACTCTCCAGTCATGATAACTCTTGATCCATCGATTATTTGAAAAATAACCTATAAATTGATTATTCAGAAATTATTTTCAGGTTTTCTATTTTTTTTTTAAGGATTTGAAAGAAGATCATTATTTGGAAAGAAGTGCATCAAAGTCTCAAGAAAGAAAAGCCAGTCCCCCAAAATCCATCTTCATACAGAAGTCCCATGAGGCCCAGACGATGAGCAAATATTGGTCAGAAGGCAATTCCGAAATTTGAATTAAAAATATCACGTCATCATTTTTCAATAACCGACTTCTCTTGGGCATCGTACTCATGCCCGGGGAGAACGAATTCATATATATACCCATTAACTGTGGTAAATGTCTTCATGCATCCAAATAGCATGTTTTGTGATAATAGCTGGAGTGAGAATAAATAGATCGATAAATAAGATAAATGTAGCTGATCCTTCTTCCCATGCCTCATAGACGCGGTGTTCGAAACATACTGTAAACTAGGCGCCAGAAGAGGGATGGCCTAGGATGCAACAAGTAATGACGGTTTGCAATTTGTAGCCTCTCTAAGAATCGAGATTTTTTTTTTTCAAATTCAATTTTAGGCCTCATATGGACAATGTTCTTTTCTCAGTTATCATACGTTGAACACTTCGTGAACTGTAAAGCATATGTCCCATCCTAAGAGACTCTATGACTCTGACTGGCGAATGTTCAGAGGCCACTAGGTTCCCCGTTTCCTTACGAGCGGAGTGGAAATTTCTGGTGAGGTTAGAATCGATAATTCACCCCCTGTTGGTCACGAGTAGCAATTCGTCCCGTTGAAATTCTCGAACTGAACATCAACAAACCTGAGAGTTCGCCAGAGATCAAAACACATGACGTTGAGCCAGAAGAATGCGGAGAGGATCCAGAAGGCGTCGACCAAATCTACAACAGAATCGAAGATCGGCATAAGAAACATGACTTGACAAAGAACTCGAGAAAGGAATATTGGGAGAATCCACACTGGCAACGAGGCAAAGGGGTATGGAGACGCCGAAGTAGAAGGTGTCCGTGCGGAAGCAAACACAAACAGAGTGAAGGAGGATGGAGCCGACGCAGACGACGCGGACCTTCCCGGGAAGGCTCTTCCGTTCGGGAGAGAAAAGAATGAGGAGGAAGGCGACGACGAGGAACAGCGCCGACAGGGGGGCGAGCACGAAGGAGGCGCCCGTCGTCTTCGTCGACATCCTCAGTCTCGGATCGCAGACGCAGGCGATATGATTCATCACCCCGAAGATGTTCCTGGTCTCGTCGATGCAATAACGAGGGACGTCGAAGTGGATCGCGACCCCACCGAAGACGCGCGTCGTGAGGCTTCCGGTCCCGGAGAAATAGAAGTCGTGGTTCGGATTCGGGTCGATATCCAGTTGCAGTTTTCCGAGCAGAATCGGCCGAAGTGGACAAACGGGGAAACCCGTGATCACACGAATGTCCTCTAAATCGGGATGAGATCGAAAATACCTTTTAGGATCCCAGATCTTTCCCGCCGGACTGCATCGAGGCCAACGTCCGGCCAAATTTAATAAGTAATCGCTCTCGGGACAACATTTGAGGACGCACGATTTCCCTTCGCACTCTTGGATCTTTTTCTCAGTAGGGTGACAGATCCGAGCCAGATTTCCCTCTGATTTATCCGAGGGAAATCGCCCATAGTCTAAACAGAACTGGTCGTGGGAAAACGTAGAATTCAAGGCAGGGACATAGAGATGACCGGTGTCCAGAACCACGGGGTATCCCTGCCAAGGAACGAGTCCTGGGGCATGAAACGATAGAAAGTGCTTCGTACACGGAATGGAAGAGAGGTCGTCGATGCGGAGCCGATATTCGTCTCGCGACAGATCCCGAAATTCCCCCTTCGTTGAACTGAAGACCGTTGGGGTCCAATCATGGCGACGGGAGATGCATTTTTCCAGATCCGCATCGTATTCCTCGTCCAAGGGACAGCATTTCTGGAGGAGGATTTTCGTTTGGTTGGCTCTCTCGCTGTCGGCATCCGAGGGACAGAAAAGGAACGCTTCCAGGACGGTTTCATTCTCCCCGTCGCCGACGAGGAATTCACCGCGGCAATGAGGAATCGTCCTCGGCTCAGAATCGACATGGTTGGACCGCACGAGTTTCGCTTTCGCCTTGCAGTCTGGAAAGGGAAATGCATCCTCGCTTTCGAGGAGTCCGACGCACCGGACGGTCCCCGTGTCTGGGTGAAACACCGCATGTTGACCTTCCCCTGGGCAACACTTTTCACTTTCTAGCTCGGGTGATTCACCTCTCACCCAGGCTCCCGGGAAGCGAAAGAGGAATAGGGAGAGAACACTCGTCAAGCGAAGAAGGAACGCCATCATTCACTGCATTTTTCTCGATTTCCTCTCTTTCTCCGCGGCTTCGGACAGTATTCCACGTACATGCTCAATTCCTCACTTCACTTTGTCCTTTTACAGTTTTACAGTCATTCACCCATCGACAAATCTACCAGAACTTTAAATGGAGAACGGAAGAGGTGAAAGAAGCACTGAACCGACTGGGACTGCACACCGCTTCAGGACACTGCACTCCCTCTGATTCCTCTCGCGAGTGTTTTCCTCGCCTCTCGGCATCGAAAGGGCACGGCCCAAGGTAGTCCCCCGGCCCCCCCCCCCCCCCACCCCTCCCCTCCACCCAACCGGGCAGACTCGAAAGGCAGCCACGCACACAGAGACTGAAAGTAATCTCCCCCGCTCGGACTCCTCGTTGCGTTGCAAAAACGGCGGAAACCCATCAACGAATCGGTTCACTATGTGCGACATCTTTTCAGATCCTTTCCATTTCAAGCGCGAATGGAACGCATGCTTCCTTCCCTTCATTTATATACATTCCCGTGCAAAGGAAATTCGACAAAAAAAAGAGCCAGACACGAACCGATCCGAGACGTCCCAGAAAGAAAAAAAGTCTCCTAATTTTTCATGAGATTATTTCCTTCCCTTTCTCGTTAAATCAAGAAATAATATTTTTCCGATTATCGAGTTTCTAATCAAAATTTTCTCCGAGATCTCGCGCTTCGATCGAAGGAGATTCCATGTCTACTAACGTCTTCTCATCGCAAGTGAATCGAATCAAAAGGGAAAATGAAACCCACATGTATTTTGCACATAGGATTCGCGGTTAGTAAAACTCGCCCATGCGATTTTTCTCGTATCGCCGTTATCGGGCCTCGGAAGCTCATATTCGGTTCGCCGATTCATTCGCTCGATTAATGTGTATGACTCGATTCCCCTTCCCCTATCATCCTCATTGACGACTGTGTCGAAAGAAAAACCCGAAGGAAATCGGTTTTCAATGAAAGAACAGATAAACCTCCGAAATTGTTTATATAATGAGGAAGGCAGCACCGTCGAAAGCCTCCTAATGGGCTTCTCAAGGGCAAACCCAGACCTTCGATGGCCTTCAAACATTTCGCGAATAACGATCGAGAAATTGAAAGGCGTGGGGCTCACACCCGCGATTGACGAAAAAAAAAGAGCATTTTCGCGGGGAGATGGCGGAGCTCCCGTCCGAAATATCTTGCGCGTTCCGCGCCTTCGAAAACGACAAAACCCAAATGTATTTTGCACATAGGATTCGTCACAAGTAAAATTTGCCCATGCAAGTTCTCCGATAAAGCTGTAATCGGGCCTTGGAAGCTCATATGCGGTTCACAGAAAACTCAGACGTACATCCTTGACCAAAAATGGGACATTAACGCCGATTCATTCCTTCGATTAATGTGTTTACCTATGACTGAATTCCCGTCCAACCAACCCCGTCTCATGCTCATTAATGTATATCTCGAAAAAAAAAAAACAAAGATATGCGGCTCAATGAAGGCAAGCAAAGGAACGGTAAGCCTCAGAAATTGCTTATATAATGAGGAAAACAGCGCAGTCGTCCCCGGCGACGACTCGCCCAGCATGACGAACGCCTGTTTCAGCTCCCTTCGACGTCAATCGGGGACACCGGAGCAGCTGGTGGATGACCTTCGTCTCCTACCGATGGTTTACTCTTTCTCGCAAGGAGAAGCCTTGCGAGCCTTTCTTCCCCCTTAGACTTGAGGGATTTCACAGCGTCCTGCTCCCAAAGGAAGATGAAGAAGATGAAGACTCCCTGTAGCCCTGAGAGGACCGTATGGAAATGGGGATCTGGAATCTCTTGGATGAAGGAGCCGACCATCCCCGCCAGCCAGGTCCCTCCCATCACCACGAACAACTTTAGGTACAACCAAAACCTGCAATCAGAGATATGAAGGGAGACTTGAAGGGAAGAGTAGTTGCTTTGAAATTGACTATCCATGAGAATCTCATGAGAATTTTCTTTCCGTTTGTCTTAACCCTTACCTTCTTTTTGTACCCTTGCTCTACCGCCATTATCCGGTGTTGAAACGAAGGCCGTAATCAAGGGGGATACACATTTTAACAAGTAGGTTACATAAATTAAGTCCCTGAGAATACCAGGCAAAACAATTCTTGTAAAAACGAGGGACTCAGCCGAATATATTTTTTGGAGGAGGCAATAACTTTTTCATTGTAAGAGTGCGCGGACGGTGGAAGACGCTGAAGAACAGCGACCAGGAAAGTGACACCATATCCCCAAGTCTCACTCCATTTACTCATATAGACTATTTCGTCCCAATGGAACACAATTCTTTACGTCTCTGGTAACTGAGTGCAGTGGGGAAAGGGGGTATCATTTCTTTCGCCACCTCGTAATCAGGGTAAACCCTTACATCCTGGCTTTAAGAAATTTCAACTGTAGAATTGATGGAATGTGACGCAGTAGGAACCGTTGAGTCTTTTCTTATTCAGGTTTGTTTCGATGATGAAGGAATCCAAATATTCCTCGGAACCAATAAGCGATGAAAAATAAACCAGAAGATAACACCGGATTTCGATGGCAACAATCTCTCTCATCTTAAATGACTCCATGAAAATTGTTTGAAACGGTATTGCCCTGTTGCATTATTGAAACTCACGTTCCCAGTTGTTCCTGGGTTGGGGTGAGATGTGAAGTATCCTTCGCACGCTGAATCAGGGAATTCCGTGAGAGACCGAAGAAAATTGCGTTAGTCACTAAAATGAAGAACACCGGCACCAAATTGTACCAAATTCCACCAGGCGGATCTAAAATCACACGGAAAAGGAATCGATCGTAAATGAAATAGCAGCGAGACCGACATAATAACGATCTAAAAAAAAAAAACCTGGAGATGCAAGCGTCGGATGGAATCCTCCCATTAGATTTAATTCCGAAGTTAGCATTCGAGGCAAGGAACCCCAAACACATGGACGAGCTTCATTTCTATATGTGAGTTGAAGTGCTCTCAGTCTCGTCGGACAGAAAAAAAGAGGCGGCCTTGCCCCTTGCCCTTTCACTAGGAGGGTCGAAGAAATATCGTCCCGTCGGGAGAGGGACTCGTAAGGCATATTATTCCGGAGTCCAGGACCCTGCTCGTTAATTTTCCGCTCCTCTTTCCGCCGGCCGTCTCGTGAGCGAGTGTTTCTCCCTTACGTTCGCGGCGTGGATGTTCGTTTCGCGTCCCTGTGGCGAATGAGAAGGGAGAGAAATGTGAAACGTGCCTTCGACGATGGTGTCGTTCCGTCTATGCGTTCTCTCTCTCTTCCTGCTCCCTGTCGCAGGAGGCAGGGTGAGAGGTGAGTCGTCCGAGCGAGAAAGCGAGAAGTGTTGCCACGGCCGAGGCCAGCACGGAGTGCTTCACCCAGACACGGGTCTCTACCGATGCGTGGGACCGATAGAAAGCGAGAACACGCTCCTCTTCCCAGACTGCGCAGCGAAGGCCAAACTCGTCCCGTACGACCGAGTCGATTCCGACCTGGGGCCCATTCCTCGTTGCCGCGGCGAATTTCTGGTCGGTGAAGGGGAAAATGCGACCGTCTTCGAGGCTCTCCTCATCTGTCCCTCCGATGCCGAAACCGAGAAAGCCGATGAAAGTAAAATCCTCGTCCGGAAATGCTGCCCCTTAGGCGAGGGCTACGACATGATTCTGGAAAAATGCGTACCGATTCCTCACGACTGGACGCTCCCCGTCTTCGACGCGACGACAAAGGAGTTTCGCATCTTGCCGCAAGACGAATATCGGCTCCTCATCGACGATCTCTCTTCCGTTCCCTGCGTCAAGCATTTCATCGGTCTCGATGGGGGATTCCTTCGTTGGGAAGGATACCCCGTGGTCCTGGACGACGGACGTCTCCACGTCCCGGCCTTGAATTCCACGTTTTCGGACGAAGAATTATGTTTGGAACTCGGGCGCGTGCTGGATTCACCGTGGACCAGTTTGGCTCGGATCTGCCACCCCACCGAGAAGAAACTCCAAGAATGCAAGGGGAAGGTGTGCGTCCAGAAGTGTTGTCCCGAGACGGAATTGTTATTGAACATTTCCGGGCTTTGGCCACAATGCAGCCCGTCTGGAAAGGTCTGGGATCCCAGGAAATATTTCCTCGACCGACCCGATCCCGAGCAAGAGATCCACGTGATCTCGGGGCTTCTCGTATGTCAGATGCCGCCTTTCTTCAGCGTGAAATTGCTGCCGGAATCCAGCGGGAACGCGGGTCATAATTTCTCGCTGACTCGGACCGGAGAGTTGACGACCCCCCTCTTCGGCGCCGCGTCCGTCCACTTCGCCGCCTCCTGGCACATCCCCGTCCCCGAATATTGCATCGACGACACGCGGAACATCAACGGGGCGATCGAACCCATCGCCTACGTCTGCCTCCCGAGACTCACGAGGCTGTCGGCGATGATACGATTCGTCTTCGGGCTCACTCCCGTGTCGGCCGTGCTGGAGGCCGTCATCTTCCTCTTCCTCCTCCTTTCCCCCGAGCGGAGGAGTCTTCCTGGAAAGTTTCGCCTCCTATACGTTGGTTGTCTCACGATTCACACCGTTTCCATCTGCTTCTGCACGAACACGTTCAACTTGGGTACCTCCGATTCCCTCTGCCTCGTTGCCAGTATGCAAATTTCAATGATCGACTCAATTCCTGATGAATTTCTCCCATCATAAAAAATTGGCACAGTTGCAAAAATTGGCATTTTTTGGCACTGTTACAGTCCTTGTCCGCGATTTCATGTCTCAGGCTGCACTCTTTTGGCTGAACGTCATGAGCTTTGACCTCTGGAGGAATCTCAGGTGAGATGTGACGCACTCTAGGAAATTTCAGCGGTGCTGATGACTGATCTTGTGCTTCAGGCTGGAAAATGTTACACTTTCTTTCCCAAAAAATTGTGTTCAAAGAAGAACATATGAAATATGCATGGATTTTTCCAACGGAACGTAATATATCAGGCAGCATACAGGAATATTTTTTTTTTACGGTAC